ATACTTTATAAACAACTTAATTTTCATTTACTTAAGATCACATCCCCTGTTATAATAAAGATTATATCACTTGCTGTAACAACAGATATCCTTCCTCAAACCATGCTTTAAAGAACATCCTGTTTCAGTTTTTAAAAATTAAAAATATTCATGTGTTCAGTTTTTGTTCTTACATATTCAACTATGTCCTTCATATTTGGCATTTTGATTTATTAGGCAATTTTAGCATTAAAGACTTCTAGCAAAGCGGTACTAGATTTCAAATGCACTGTGCATGGTGTCCATGATGAATTAATTCCACTAGAGCACAAAAGTTATCGTTATTTAAATGCTAGTTTCTTTCAGAAGTTTTATATCACAGTCAAGTTTTCAAACTCAGAATTTAGCTGATATTTTGAGGTAAATGTATAGGTTTCTTTTTGTGTATGTAGGTTTTCCTCATACTTAACCCTTTCTCGTGTGAATAGACAGAGAAATATTTAATAAAATTTAATATTTATAATTTTAAAATGATTAATAATTATTTAAAAATATATGCTATTTAATTTTATGGTTTGCTTTTCTTTAAATGTCATATTGAAAAGCTTTTGGATTTAATGTATATATTTAGTTAAATAAATGAGACGCTGGGAGAAAGCAGATACCAGACAAAAAATGTCTTTTAATCTCACTGTAAATAATTTTGTTTAAGAAAAGTTCACAGGAATAGTTATAAACTTTTTATATGTGCTGTTATTTGTTCTCAGTTTTTCAGAAAGTCATTTTTTTCCTCCATTTGTTTTGATTAAATGGTAAGATGCCAAAATATGAGGTTTAATATTAAGGCACCAACATTGTAAGATGGAGTGTCCGTGTATGTGGATAGGGGAGTGTGGTGGGAAATAAAGGTTATTTTTCCCTTCTTACCATCCTTGACATGTATAGTTAGATCTATCTATCATCCATCTATCTATCTATCTATCTATCTATCTATCTATCTATCTATCTATCTATCTATCTAAATAACATACATACACATACGTGGGGGTAGGGAGTGGAAGAGAAGAAGGAAGGGAGAGAGGTAGGGATGATGAGAGAGAGGGAGAGAGAGAAAAGGTGAGAGAGAAGACCAGAGAAAAGGAGTAAGCAACAAGGACCAATAGTGTCCCTGGTGGTGGTTGAGATAACACACTTAACTGTACTGGCCCAGGTCAAGTTTCAAACTTTTGAACATTCTAGTGAATATGGCATAGGATATATGCAGGTTTCTGTTATCACTCTGGCAAGTGTCTCTTTCACATGGTAGCTTTATATCAATGGAACCTATAACACTAAGAGGAAAAAATAAAACCAACAAGTCTAGCATTCAGTACTACCCTATCATAAAGTAAGGAGGTCTAATTGAGCTATGTCTTTATATCCTGCTATTTGTACAAATAAAAGACTACATCTTGATGCAAAATAAACACAAAAGCACTGTTGTGACTATAACAGGGAGTCATATACTAATTTATATAATAAGTGGTTGTGCACGCTTTATTCAAGATTATGGCTGCAAGAAATGGCATGAATTGCTGGGTGTGTTTAATGCTGGATTATAGCAATTTGAAACATGTCAAACACATGGCTAATGCCTCATGCTTCACTCATTCTTGCGTAAACCTGCATAGCCACCATCCATTATACCCTTGGTAACAACACAATTCTGCAAGTAAATATTGTTACACTAAGTAACCTTTCAATTCAAGTTGTTTAGGAAGAGAAAATGCAATCTTGTGCAGTCAGTTCCAGTGTCAGTTTAATGTTTCAAAAGGGAAGTGGTGTAGAGAATAAGTATCTGTACAGTGACTTGCTTAAAAAAAAAAAAGAAGAAAGAAAAGGAAAGAAAGGAAAACTTAATGCAGGGGAGAAAAGTAGAATTGTATCATTTGAGTGCAAGATCTGAAGAGTTATTTTCTGATGTGGCTGAAAAGTTGTGTATGATAAAAGATTTAAGGGTTTAACTAACAGTTCAGACAGACATTAACGCAGCAACTCTCAATTTCACCTTTCCCTTTAATGATCTGGAATTTATTTTCACTGATTTTTGTAAAATGTTTGTGGTAGGATTGAGAAGAATGAATAATTTAGTTTGATATGTTTAGGATCACAAGCACATCCACTTTGAAAGAATATGCTGAATTTGTAATATTTAAAATATACTTTAAAAGGTAAACAGCACCTCGCATTGTGCTAGAAATATTTCCTCTAGTAAAAAATAGGTGTGGAGGTGTCACTAGGAGAAAGTTAGTAAATACTGGAAAGCATCTTCATTATCCTTGAAGATACGTCTCCTTTATAGTGGACACACTCCAAGCTTTTTTCTTTAGGTGAAACGTACATTATAATCATCTAATTACACAATTGCCCTTCTTTTGGCATATTAATGTTGGGTCAGATGCTTCTGTTTTGTAGAGAAAAAGTACTATCACTGTTACTGTTTTTCTTAAGCATGATTTTTCTAGCATAGTTGAACTCTTAGGTGATTGAACTTAAAACGTAAATCACAATTTATACTCTAGGGTTTTAGAAAGTCAAAAATTCCACAAGGGATAATAAAATCCTCTGGTTAATAGGAATTGGAAGTTATGTGGGTCTTTCTTCATAATTGTAATAAAGATTTAGACCCATGACTCTCTGCTCGTTGATTATTCTTAATT